AAAAAAAAAAAAAAAACCAAACCTGATTTATTCGCTTGCCTTATACACTAAACCTAGAGTGGATATTCTGTTTTTTCTAATGTAGTAGTTACTATTCAGAATCACGACAAGTAAGCTGGCTTACACGATGTCACCTTTGTGTCCACCTGACCAGGTTAAGGGACATCCACAGAAATGGTAACACTCCCGGGCATGTCCATGAATACTGAAAAGAGCTTGGTACTGGAACCAGCAGACCAAGGGCAGAAGATCTGCTTTTACTAACAGGGAAGGATATCATCCAGACCACAGAGGAACTGGATAAAACCAGAAGGCAAGGAAAACAAGTGTTTTCTCTCTTAGGAGGAGTGGTGTTTACCTCCACTGGAGCTCCCCTGGCTTTGGTCGTTCAGACTCTAGGACTTAAGTCATGACCCAACACCCATTCCTTACAAACCAGCCTCTGGACTGGGATGATACAGTCAGTACCGCAGTTTCTCAGGCCTTGGGACACACTGGCGTTCCTGTGTCTCCCTAGCAGACCCTTCTGCCTCCATGATGGAGCAAGCCTCTTTCTGTAGTAACTCCCCTTCTATAGCTATAAATATTGTGTTGGTGTTGTTTCTCTGTCAACATCCAAATACAGTTTGCTACTGTACTTCTTTTTAAAAAGAGTACACTTGATGTTTGTCAAACATTTGAAAATCTGTCTTAAGAAAAACTTTAGCTGGGTGGTGGTAGTGCACATCTTCAATCCCAGTACTGAGGAGACAGAGCTAGGCGGATCTCTGATTTGGAAGCCAGCCTGGTCTACAGAGTGAGTTCCAGAACAGCCAGGGCTACACAGAGAAACCATGTCTTGGAAAACAACAACAACAACAACAAAAACAAAAAAAAGAAAGAAAAGTAGTTGAGAAAAATTTGGCATTTATACATAGTTAATTCCTGATTTACAAACATCCTTATTTGTAATTATTTTATGAGTGTTTTCCTTGCGTATGTATGTTCACCACTTACTTGTATGCCTGGTGCTCACAGAGGTCAAAAGAGGGTGTCAGATCCTCAGAAACTAGAGTTA